CCCCAAAACCCCAAAACCCCAAAACCCCAAAACCCCAAAACAATACCAAATCGTTGAATAATGACGTATTTACTTGAAGCGTATTTTAAATCTTTGCAAGAAGACTTGGCTCTTTTTCTCTTGTTTCAATTTTCTCAAGGAATTCTGGATCAGCTGATTGATCTTCTCTTACTTTTCCAGACTTATCATTATATTTCTTATAGAGTGCAACGATTCATGCTCCACCAAGGCCTAAATTATGCTGAATTGCTATTTTGGCACCATCTACTTGTCTCTTGTCTGCCATTCCTCTCAGTTGCCAGCATAATTCTGAACATTGAGCAAGGCCTGTAGCTCCTAATGGGTGGCCTTTAGAAATCAGGCCTCCGCTTGGGTTAACTACTATCTTTCCGCCATACGTGAATGCATCTTCGTCAATAAATTTCCCAGCTTTACCTTCTGGGCAAAGCCCAAGATTTTCATATGTAATTAATTCATTTGCTGAGAAACAGTCGTGCAATTCACAGACATCGCAATCATCAGGAGTCAGTCCAGTCTCTTTAAAAGCCTGCTTAGCAGCATTCTTGGTCAGATCTTGTCCAACAAGTTTTATGTTTGAGTTGTCTTCGAATGTTGCAGCAGTATCTGTCGCCATTGTGATACTTAAGACCTCAACAGCTTGATCTTCTAATCCATGAGCTTTTACAAATTCTTCACTAGCTATAATTGCGCATGCAGCTCCATTACTAGTTGGACAGCATTGTAACTTAGTTAGAGGGGCTTGAATCATAGGGCTCTCCTTAATCTCATCCAGAGTGTACTTAGTTCTGAATTGACTGTAAGGGTTATTTACGCTATGAAGATGGTTTTTATAAGCAACCTTTGCAAAATGTTCTTCTGTAGTTCCATATTTTTCCATATGTTCTAGTCCTGCATTTCCAAACAGTTGAGGGGCGAATGGTTTTCCAGAATCTGTTCTTAGTTCATGATTCTTGGTAATGAATTTTTCAAGAGGAGATGACCTGTCAGAGAAGGCTAAGGTCAAAGATCCTCTAGCCATCTTTTCAAATCCTAGTGCCATGCAGCAATCATGAATACCTGCTTTAATCATCAGAGCTGCATTATACAGAGCAGTTGATCCAGTTGAGCAGTTATTGTTTACATTTGTGATAGGAATACCAGTCATTCCAACTTCATAAAGAGCTCTCTGTCCAGCTGTAGAGTCTCCATACACATATCCAATAAAGGCATGCTCCACCTGGTCATAAGAAATTCCAGCGTCTCTAAGTGCTCTATTAGCTGCAATTTTAGTAAAATCTGGATAATCACCTTGAGTCTTATCAGAAGGTTTGACAAATTTAGTCATTCCTACACCAACAACAAATACTCTGTTAGTAGGGGTTCCTTTCTTTTCCATTTATAAGATAGGTAATTATTTTTCAAGCTCTAAAATAGCTACTGGGGTTTTGGGGTTTTGGGGTTTTGGGGTTTTGGGGTTTTGGGGTTTTGGGGTTTTGGGG